GAGTTCCAGGACTACACAGAGAAACCCTGTCTTGAAAAACAAAAACAGCTGGGTTTTAAAGAAGGCGTCCATCTGAAAAGCTGGAGGTCAATGCTATCACAGGTGGTCAGTGGACAGGTCAATGCCAATCTTGCCTGGTGTTCTCCGCTGGGACAAGAGACAAGACAAGGTGCTCAGACCTATGGCCTGCCCGGCCCAGCTGCCTACCTGCTCGTAGTCTTCCACATACTTATATTTCTTGTCCCGGTAGTAGTATCTTTTCTTCATGCAGTAGAGGACTATGACGTCACATAGCACAGTCGCCTGGTTTAGCACAGAATGAACCAGGATGCGTTTAGCTCTTGCTCTGTGTAGACCCCTTCCTTTGAAACCTAGCCTGCTGAGGAGGAAAGGCATCTCCATTCCTCTGGATCAGGCTGGACCCCAGCCAAGGGACTTGGTCCCAGAGGTGGGATGTCTAGGGCTTCTTTCCTCTCACCCCTAGAAGTGTCCAGTCAAGTCTGAGGGTGTAGGGAAGGACAGTGCTTGCTATGCCCCATGCTAGTACGAAGGGTCCAGTTCCCGAAAGGAACAGTTTGCCACTCACCACCCCCAGCAGTGCCAAGCCAGAGCCAACATTGATCATAGTAGGGATGATGTCAAACTTCCCAGCCTGCGTAAGACAGGAAGAGAACCAGAGTGGGATGATGGTAGAAAATAGGGTGGTGGGAGGCTCCCTCTCCTGGGGGGGTTCAAGGGAGGGCCGACCTTTCCAAACACGATGATGTCAAAGCGGATGCCATATGCCTTGATGAGTGTGCGCTGCTCGTTGCCGGTGAGGTCCCTGTAGTACTTGGCAAACCTAAAGGGGGAGAGGGTGGGTTAGGGAGAAAGCTGTTAGGGCGGGACCCGAGGCCCTGGGCACAGCTGGTCGTGGCCAATGAGTTGCTCTGCAGACTTAGCACACACTAAGCACCCCGGGTCAGCCTCAGCTAATGTGAGGCCGGTGGCAGAGGGACAGAGTGACTCCTGTCATCGCCATTTCCCACAGGATGGCAGACGCCTCTTGCTCTGAATGACTTTCCTGACACAGCCAAGACACCTGCTTCTCTCCAGGGGACCCTGGCTACCAACAGAGAGCTCGTCAGCCAGCAGGGATCTGCATGGAAGGGTGAGGGCCAAGCAGCACTCGCTTTGGCCCGCAATCTTGGCTCCAGGTGGATATGCCACGCCTCAGTGGTTCTTCCTGCCCACCATCTGCTTTTTTCTTGTTTACATGGCTGGGTTGGCATATACACTGGAGCAGAAATACAGTTACACCACTCACCCACCAAACTACAGAATCCCAGAGCTCCAGAAACTTAAAAGATCAATTAGTTGTTCTGAAATATGCAGGCAATCTTAGAATTTCAGCACCTCCAAAAGAAACCTTGCCTTGATTACTATTCTACCAGACCCCAGCCTTAGCATTTTACCAGGATCTTTTTCTTTTTTTTTTTTTTTTTTTTTTTTTTCTTTTTTTTTTTTTTGAGACAGGGTTTCTCCGTAGCTTTTTGGTTCCTGTCTTGGAACTAGCTCTTGTAGACCAGGCTGGCCTCGAACTCACAGAGATCCACCTGCCTCTGCCTCCCGAGTGCTGGGATTAAAGGTGTGCGCCACCACCGCCCAGCTCTACCAGGATCTTAAGCCTCGGATTTATCTGATCCACAGCTTCTATGCTGTGGTCCAGGCTTGGGACTCTCAGGTGAGGTTAATGCTGGCAGAAGCCAGGAGCTGGGTGTCCTGTGGGATCCATCAATCTCAGCTTGAGGATTCCAACTCAAGCTTGAGGAACAAGCATTCAAATACCTGCCCTAGTTTGGGTAAGCCTTCTTACAACCCCACACAAATCTGATACCACAAATTACCACTAAGCTTTCAAATACCTGCCCTAGTTTGGGTAAGCCTTCTTACAACCCCACACAAATCTGATACCACAAATTACCACTAGAGGGAGGCAAAGGGCAACCTTTTTAAAGACCCGTTCAGCAAAAGCACATTAAATGTACATAGGATTTTGCTGCTTTAAGAAAATGGCAAAGGGCCGGGCGATGGTGGCGCACGCCTTTAATCCCAGCACTCGGGAGGCAGAGGCAGGCGGATCTCTGTGAGTTCGAGACCAGCCTGGTCTACAGAGCTAGTTCCAGGACAGGCTCCAAAGCCACAGAGAAACCCTGTCTCCAAAAACAAAACAAAACAAAAAAAATGGCAAAGGTGTCCCGAGGCCTCTCATCAGATTCCCAAGTGTCCTGGATTTTATAGTGCCCCCTTCCCAAGCTCATGTCCACCTAGGGCCTGCAAGTGTGACCTTATTTGGAAAGAAGGCTTTGCAGACGTAATTAGTTAAAATGAGGTCATGTTAGATTTCGGTCCACCCTAAATCCAGTGCTCAAGAAGAGAAGGAAGACTGGGCCAGGCGTGCCTTTAACCCCGAACTCGGGAGGCTAAGGCAGTTCTGTTTCTGGAGTTTGAGACCAGCCTGGTCTACCTAGCAAGTTCCTGGTCTTTCTAAAAAAGGTGGGTGTGGTGGTGCACACCTCTTAACCCAGCACTGGGGGGGGGGGAGATCAGGAGTTCAAGGTCATCCTCAGCTCCTAGAGAAAAGAGTGCAGAGGTAGGAGGATCATGTGACCGTGGAGGTAGTGACACACTTACAAGCTAAGGATTGCTGGTAGCCAACAATGCTTGAAGAGGCCAAGGAGAATCCGGTAACAGAGCTTGGGACAGCACAGCCCTGCAGACACCTTGATTCTAGACTTCTGGTTTCAAACTACCAAAAAATAAAATTCTGTTGTTTTGAACCATTCAGTTTTGTTACTAGAGTCAGGGAAGCTGATGTTTTCAGCAGGCAAGTTTGAGTGCAGCCCTTTGTTTTCTTTCACCGAGACAGGGCCTCGTGAAGTAGCTCAGGCTCGCCTCAAATGTGCGCCTCTGCTTCAGTTCCCCGGGTCCTGGAGTTAAAGATATGTGCCACCATGCCTGGCTTGAGCAGAGACAGGCTCTCGACAGGTTACACCTGTAGCCCCTGCGTGTTGGGGCAGCATCAGTTACTAAAAAACCATTTCTGGACCACTGGCCTTGAACAGAGTTCACAAGCTCATCTTGTTCCTCACAGTAGTGGGCAGGGATATGGCAAAAGATGGCCCTCGGAAGGCTAAGATGCTGGCTTCTCTCCTCTACCCTGTAAATCTCAACACATTAAAAGCAAAAAAGGTTTTATTTTTATCTGATGTGTATGAGTGTTTTGCCTACATATAAATGCATCATGTATATGCTGTGCCCAAGGAAGCCAGAAGAGGGTGTTGGATGCCCTGGATCAGGAGTTGTGACAATTGTAAGCTGCCGTGTAGGTGCTGGGAACCAAACACTGGTCCTCTGGAAGAGCAGCAAGTGCTCTTAGCTGCTGAGCGCTTTTAGCATGAAAGCAAGGAGAACTCTCGTGGGCCTGGACATCCCCTGAGCAAGACCCTTCTGGGAATATCCTGCCAGGTACCTGGCCTTCCTGCCCTGAACCGGTGAAACACAGCCTGTCCCTTGGGTACTGTCTTTTGGGGGGTGGCGGTATGAATGACCCCATAGGTATCTACTATCACCCCTCACCCCAACATGTGTGTGGCAAGGCCCAGGCTCACATACCTGAAATTGTAGCCGGGGGATACATTGTGCTCCAGGTCCCGGGTGTCGAGGCGCCGGAAGGAGTATCTGGGCAGGCAGAGGGAGGCAGCTCTGTCCAGGTTGCAGTCCCACTTGATCTGAATGCCCATGATGCCTCCCTGTGGGGGAAGCAAGAGAGACACGGCCAGGCTTTCAGAACTCGGGTCCACGCTGGGGCCAAGGAGGTGTGTGAAAAGCCATGCCAGCACCTACCTCAACTGCCATATCCTGGAAGCTGTGCCCTGCATCCTCCACGATTTTGCCAAGACGGAATATGGGGCAGAAGGGATCCGTTTGAGCATCATAAATGCACGACTTGAGGTAGGAAGAGGTGACGTTGGGGAGAATGTTCCTCCTGAAGCCAGGGAGGAAGCAGAAAGTGTGAGCGAGAGGGACCTCAGGGAGAGGCAGAAGCTCTTTAAGAGGCTTATGAACACGCACGCCTGGCCCCCACTTACTTGCTGAAATTAAACTTGGGGTACCAGATGTTGTTCTTTACCAAAAGGGTGAAGTTTTCCGCGGCATTTAAAAAAGCTGGCCTGGAAAAGAATTGTAGTGGTTGTAAATATATGCACACGGCTGCTGCGTCCCCTCTGACAGGTCTCTGAAGGAGAAATGGCCTAGAACTTTCTACTCTTCTGTGTAGCACTAGGTCACCAGTCCTGAGCCTTCCTCTGAAAAGGTGGGATTCCTGGTCCGAGGCACTGGCCAGTGAAGAACCTGAGCATTTGCTGATGAGAATGCTGGCCACGGACGCCATGATTCCTTAGCCGTCTGCTGGCCTCACGTTGGCCTTTTTAGGTGTTCGTGGGGAATGGATGCTCCACAAATGGTTTATGAGTCGGAGCACAGAGGGTTCACCTCCGGATACATCCTGGCCTTGCTGAAAAGGGAACCATACCACCAGCAGGCTCTGAAGGGTGCCACGCCAGCTTTTGGCTGATACACGAGGTGAGTCTGTTTCCAAGGGGACTCATTTCGGGAGTGGATTTTTCTCAGTGAGAATCCAGAAATGCAGGACTGGCCCTTCCGTGGAGGAGGCCTCCCCTGAGGCAGACAAGAACTTTGAAGTTATAAACAGGGCCACTCATATCAGCTCTGCCTTAGCAGCAAAGCCACTGGGACCACGATGAGGGGAGCTGAGCCCACACCTCTGCTGCTAAGTGAGGGTCTGGAGCTCTTTCAGCTCCAAGTCCACATTCCTTATCAAGAGGAAAGGATTATAACGCGGGTCTCTGTTTCTGCCATTTTCTGTATCATACACCAATAACCTGCACAGCCCATAGGCAGCACTTTCCTTAAGATTACCTCACTGTTCTTTTCTTTAAAAAAAAAAAATTGGAATGGAATTTAAATAAGATTAGCCATTTTAAAACTGAGTCCATTTGTCAGGTAAGTGGTGGCTTTCGGAGTCAGCTCACACCTGTTATCCCAGCACTGCAGAGACTGAGGAAGGGTGTGAACGAGGCTTTGTTCTTTAAGGTGGAACAATATGCCATTGTATGGACATACTGCAGTTTGTATGCATTCATAAGAATTGGGTTGCTCCCAATTCATTCCCTAAACAGCGCTATTAAAACTTGTTGAGCGTGGTGGTGGTGGCTCACACCTTTAGTCCCAGCACTAAAGGCGGCATAGGCAGGTGGATCTCTGTGAGTTCAAGGCCAGACTGGTCTACAGAGCAAATTACAGGACAGCCAGGGTTACACAGAGAAACCCTGTCTTGAAAAACCAAAACAGGGCTGGAGAGATGGCTCAGAGGTTAAGAACATTGGTTGCTCTTCCAGAGGTCCTGAGTTCAATTCCCAGCAACCACATGGCTCATAACCATCTACAATGAGATCTGGTGCCTTCTTCTGGCATGTAGGCACGAAGCCTGTAGACATAATAAATAAATAAAATCTAAAAAAAAATGTTAATCTTTAAAAAAAAAAGGAAAAATCAAAACAAACAAAAATTTGTAGTCTGCCTTGAGTGTGTGGTCTGGGGCTTGTTCTATGTAAGACATACAAATCAGCAAGTGATAATCAAGACACCCTGAGTCAGGGCTTCCTCCTCGATGTAAAGGAAGGGACCAAATAAGAATGGAAACATCTGTTTCCAGTGCCTGAGTGTGATAAAGATGTTATGCCTGTGTGCACACCTGTGTGATGCAGAGGTTATGTCTGTATGCACACCTGTGTGATGCAGAGGCTATAGCTGTGTGCATGCCTGTGTGTGATGCAGATGTTATGCCTGTGTGCACACCTGTGTGCGATGCAGATGTTATGCCTGTGTGTGATGCAGAGGTTATGCCTGTGTGCATGCCTGTGTGTGATGCAGAGGTTATGCCTGTGTGCACACCTGTGTGCGATGCAGATGTTATGCCTGTGTGCACACCTGTGTGCGATGCAGATGTTATGCCTGTGTGCACACCTGTGTGCGATGCAGATGTTATGCCTGTGTGTGATGCAGAGGCTATGCCTGTGTGCACACCTGTGTGTGATGCAGATGTTATGCCTGGGCACACACCTGGAGACTGGGGTACTGCCTTAGGTGGCTTTCTCATGAACACAGCCCACCTCCTCTGAGACAAGGTCTCCTACTGGCCCAGAGTGAGCCCCAGAGCTCCCAGAGATCCAATCTGAGTTGCCCCACCAGCTTAGACCTGCAAAGTGCTGCCCAATATAAATATATTGTCAAATACACCTTTAGCCACGCTGTGATTTGTTTTCTCGTTTCTTCAGATACAGTCTCCATATATAACCCAGACTGGTCTGGTTGCCACCCTCCTCCAGCCTAAGCTTCCTGAGCGCTAGGATCACAGGCTTACAGTACCATCGCTGCTCCACACTGTCTGTACCTTTAAGTCTTTACATGAAAAACTTCATTGGTATACACACATGGAAGCCAGACAGCCGTGGGCAAGCTCTGGTATACACGCACAGAGGCCAGACAGCCATGAGCAAGCACTGGTATACACGCACAGAGGCCAGACAGCCATGGGCAAGCTGCTTCTCTCCTCCCACCATGTGGGTTCTAGGGATGGAACTACAAGTTCCCCTTTCTGCTGAACCATCTTCCTGGCCCAGCAGCCACTTTTGTTTTGTTTTGTTTGTTTTTTGAGACAGGGTTTCTCTGTGACCAGGCTAGGCTCAAACTCACCTGTCTCTGCCTCCCAAGTCCTGGGATTAAAGGCAGGCGTAAGACACTACCGCCGGCCCGGCAGTTACATTTAAAAGCCAAAGAAGCTTAATATTAAAATGACTGAGCAGGTTGTACTCGTATGTTTATGCCTGTGTGCATGTGTGCAGGTGTGTGTAACAGGAACATGAAACTTGAATTTGGGAGGGAGTAGGTATGGGGGTTATATAGACAGAGTTGGATGGAGGAAAGGAGGGAAATACTGTAATTAGATTTTAATTTGAAAAACTTTTTTTAATAAGTAATGGGAGAGGGTGAGAGATGGCTCAGCAGTTAAGGAATCTCTCACCCTATGTCATGTGGGTCACAACCCCTGTAACTCCGGCTCCAGAGGATCCAGTGCCCTCCTTCTGCTGGCCTTGTGGGCACCATAGGCACTTGGCAGAATTTGGTAGACATAAACATGTAGTTTTTTAATCTTTAAGAAATTTAATTGATTAATTACTTGGGTTTTAATTTTTTATTTTATATGCATGAGTTTTTTTGTCTACATCTATGTGTGAGTGAGGGTGTTGAATGGCCTGGAACTGGAGTTACAGACAGCTGTGAGCTGCCATGTGGGTGCTGGGAATTGAACCTGAGTTCTCTGGTAGAGCAGTCAGGGCTTTTAACTCTGAGCCATCTCTCCAGGCTCCAGGCTCTCATGTGTTTTTTTTTTTTTTTTTTTTTTTTTGAGGCAAGGCTTCTCTACGTAGCTCTGGCTGTCCTGGAACTCACTCTGTAGACCAGGCTGGCCTTGAGCTCACAGAGATCCACCTGCCTCTGCCTCTCGAGGGCTGGGATCAAAGTGTGTGTGTGTGTTGGGGGTGGATGTATGTATGCTTGGTGCTGTAGCTATCAAAAGCCAGTATGATGGCTGATGCTGGTATTCCTAGTACTTGGAAAACCAAAGCAGGAAGCCAAGCATTCAGGGCTGGGCTGGGCTGGTGGCATAGCCTAGTGGGTAAAGGCACTTGCTGCAATGCCTGAGGATTTGAGTTCCATTCCTGGTCCCAAACGGCAGAAGGAGAGAGCTGATCCGCAAGTTGTTTTCCAACCTTCACTTGTGCTGTGGCACACTTTACACACACACGCACACATTAAAAATTACTTAACAACAACAAAAGAGTTCAAAGCTATCCCTGGCCACATAGTGAGGCTCTTTAAAAAAAAAAAAAAAAAAAAAAAAAAACAAAAACGAAAAACCAAGAACTGTTTCCTGTTGGTTATTTGCACCCGACAATGCCCCAGCACACATAGGTCACCTGCACCCTTATCACAAGTGACAACCCTTGTGGTCTCCTTGCTCTGTGGTTGACAACCACTCTCCCAGGGTGCAATGGCCCCACTCCCGGCACCCAGGCTCACTGCACCCTCTCTGTCACCTCCCTCCAGGCTGAGAACCAGGGTTAGGGAGCCTTGGGGAGGACTCACGTTGGCATGCCAGCGTCGTTCTCCACTGGGCACCATGCTGCCACCTCGCAGGTCTTCACAGACTCGTTGAATGGGACACATCTTCCAGTCCCAACTCCTGTGAAGACAGAACACGTCCATAGGGTCTTGTCACCAATCTTTTACCTTTGCGGTGTACGATATGAGACCCCTGAGGATCCTGGGTGGCCAATCTTTAGTAAACTGTGGGATTTAGATAGTGTCTGGAAGATGGAGATAGAACAAGAAGGCTGCCTCAGGACTGACCACGTATCTGCCAAGTGATACCAAGTCAGAGAGGGGCAGCACCTGAGGTGTCTGCCACAGCACGGGTGAATGAATGCTAAGAGGGCCCCAGTTCTGCTCTGATACCAGATTCCCCCGGGTTCATGCAGCAGTGGGGGCTAGAACTGACCCAGGCTCATCCAAGCCAAGCCCCAGGTGGGGCGGCGGGTGGGGGGAGGGGAGGCAGATGGGCCACAGCAAGTGTGATGTCATCGGAAGCCACTTTCCCCTGGTCCCAGCTGCTCAGTCACCCACTCCTACCATTGCTGTGGGTGCCTGTGGAGCCAAGAGTGCAGTTCGAGTCTGAGTTACAGATGGTGGTCCTATCAGGAAGCTGCAAAAAAGGGAAGCATGAAAACCGGTTCCATGCCGTCCAGCCCCAAACAGTTTGCCAGGAGCTGATGTGGGTGTGAAGCCGGAGGGCTTCCCCAAAGAGCCACCTACTTCTGGACAGGTGCTCTGCGTCTGGTTCACAGTGATGATCATGTTGGTCATGATGAAGAGCGAGTTTTCCTCCTGCAGAGACGAGAGAACCCTGTTGAGTGCCCCACTGAGTGGGGCGGGGCTGGAGAGGTGGCCCAGCGGTTAAGAGCACTGGCTGCTCTTCAGGAGGAGCTGGATTTGATTCCCAGCACCCACATGGTAGCTCATAACTATCAGTAACTCCAGTTCCGGCGGACCTGACCCCCTTTTCTGGATTTCACAGGCACCAGGTGTGAAGTGGTATGCAGACATACATGCAAGGGGAAACACCTATACAATAAAGTTAAATAAAATATACCTAAGAAAGCATTTGAGTATTTAAAAGCCAAAAACTACAGGTCAAGAAAACATTAAAAAAGAAGAGCTGGGCAGTGGTGGTGTATGCCTTTAATCCCAGCACTCAGAAGGTAGAGGCAGGTGGATCTCTGTGAGTTCCAGGCCAGCCTGAGCTACAGAGTGAAACCCTGTTTTGAAACAAAACAAAAACAGAAAGGAAGGAAGGAAGGAAGGAAGGAAGGAAGGAAGGAAGGAAGGAAGGAAGATGAAAGGGAAGAAAGAGCAAGCCAGAAGTCCCCCCCCTTCTTATGTGTGGGAAGAGTAACTGAAATGGGGGTTCATGTAGCCCAGGCTGGCCTCGAAATGTATACAGCCAAAGCTGCCCTTGAACTCCTGATCCTCCTGCCTCCACCTACTAAGAGCTGGGATTACAGGTGTGAACTATTAAATCTGTCCAGAAATTTCCTTAAGAGTACAATTTCAGGGGCTGGAGAGATGGCTCAGAGGTTAAGAGCCTGGCTGCCCTTCCTTCAGTGCCCAGCACCCACATCCATGGTGGCTCACAATCTGCAGCTCCAGTTCCAGGGGATCCAGTGCCCCTTTCTGGCCTATCCAGGCAAAACACTCTAACATATAAGATTCATTATTTTTAAGAGCACAACTTATAAAACTCATCTGTGGTTCCCTGTTCGTCTCCACGGAGCTAAAATAGCAACCGAAACAGATCACTGCACGTAAATATTCCTGAGGGTCAAAAGGTGGGAACAAGGCAAAGGCCTGCAGCGAATGGAAAATCCGCTGTGGCCAACCCCTGCAGTGAAGTTAGCATTCAGTCATCAAATGGATATTGATACGTGCTTGTCACACACACCAACCTCAGAAACATGCTACAGAGGGTGGGATGTAGCTTGGTGGTAGAATATTAGCCTAGCAGTCACAGGCCCTGCATTCAATTTCCACGCATGCACACACACAAATATGGGCTAGAGAGATGTCTCAATTGTTAATAGCAGCAGAGAACCAGGGTTCAGTTCCCAGCACCTACGATGGTGGTTCACAACCACCTGCAACACTAGTTCAAGGGTTGATGCCCTCTTCTGACTGCTGCGGTACTGCATGTACATGGTGCACATACATATGCATTCAGGTGCACACAGACACATAAAATATATATTTTTAAAAGCATGCTAAAGGCTGGATATGATGGCAGACACCTTTCATTCCAGTACATGGGAAGCAAGAAACAGAAGGATCTTTGTGAGTTCAAGGACAATCAGTAGAGTGAAACTGTCTCAAAAAGAAAAAAAAAGGCAAACAGATAAATAAATAAATAAATGAATAAATATTCTAGGGAAGAGCCTGTCAGCCAGTAACAGACATTTCTCTCTTTGAAGTGGTTTTGCTTTTTCCTTATAGATACAACGGTGCTAAGCCAGAACCTCTAGAAGCAATTCTCTGCAGATAGCAGAGAGGAATAGTTAATTATGACCTCCTCACACAAGAATGACAGACAGTGACCCCAGGAGATTCTAGTTAGATGTCCCCCCAACCTCCACTGGGTGTTTGGAATTTTAAAGAGCTACTAGAAACTTCAGCATTTCATGCTCCTCCTAAAAAGGCAGAGTCGGCTCTGGGAGCCATTTCGGGGAACAGGTCTCTTAGGCACCCCATGTACATTATCGTCTTTCCGTTCCCACATTATCGTCTTTCCGTTCCCCGTTGCAGATCTCTTTCATTTAGGGAAACTTCAATCTAGAGACGCATCACAGAGATGTGGTGGTTCTTTTCTGCTCATGGAGACAGCTTAGGAGGAGGGCCTAGGGAAGCCTTCGCCCCTGATTCATTCAGCTGCTTGACAGAACACAGCTGCTGGCTGGCCCTTCCCATTCAGTCCCAGGAGCAGGGCTTATTCCTTCTCTAGCTGCAGCAGGTACGCTGGGCGCTGGGCGTGACGGTCCCAGCGCTTGTTAGGATGGGGTTGGAAGCCACCACCACTTTGCACAGACTGGACAACCCAATTGCAACCACTTGCTCCAACTGGTTTTTAAAAAGTTGTTTCCAGACACTTGGGACTCACGAATTCACTGTGTAGACTAGGTTGGCCTTGAAAATGGCAGAGATCTGCTTGCCCCTGTTTTTTGAGTGCTGGGATTAAAGGGATGCACCTCCATGCCTGACAGTCCATTTTATCTTTCTGTCTCTTTAGCTCTGGCTTTTCTCCCCTCAGATCCTTCTGGGAAGGCCAGGGAAATAAACACTCTTAGAGGGAAGATCCGAAGTCCTTGTTCTCTCTCTCTTAGCTCTAAATGCCCACAGCTTAACTAGTCTGGCCACCATACACACCAAGCCAGCCCATCAGCCATCTGGAGGAGACGCCCGGCCAGGGTTTGGCCAAGAGGCACACAGCTAAAGAGTCAATGTTTAACTTGCAGCGTTGGAGCTGGGGATTTGGCTCCGTAGCAGAGCACTAGCCTAGCATGTGTGAACCCTAGGCTCCATCTCCACGTCTAGAAAAAGAGACAAAATGTCAGCTTGCGTCTGTGCGGATTAACATAGAGTTGGAGGTTAGGACACCAGTGCAGTATTTCTTCCTCTTTGTTCCTGATGGATCTAATCGCTTCCCTTTAGTTTGGGTGTGTGGTCTTTAACTGCTGGTTTGGTTTGGTTTTTAATATACCCTCTTGACAAGCTTTACCTTGTGGGTGTAAGACAGGAAAGCAAACACAGAACATGGGAGGTGTTCTTTCCAGCCTCACTCTGCCCAAGACTAAAGATCTTCGCTTTCTCATCCTGGAGAGCTCAGAGATGAAGGTGGGGAAGACAGTGCTGGGTGGAACCAGCCACACTCCAGAAGGAGAGCTCTCCAGGGTTCTCTGTTAGAAATGACATCCCAGAGATCCGACTGCACTGCTGTCTCCGGCTAAAACACCCTGGGCACAGAGGTGCCAACTCCGGCCACCCAGGAAGAGCCTCTAGTCACAGCAAGACATACCTGGGCTGGAATCACATAGTCCGCCACATCCCAGATCCGGAATCCGAGTTCAGAAGTGTTGGTCACAGCCACGCCTTTGGCCTTGGTCGTCACCGAGCTGACCACAGAGTCAGTTTCCTGGTAGCCCTTTTCCCACACAAACACCCACCTAAAAAAACACAGCAGGTCACAGGCATCGGTAAACTCGAACCGACGCCAGGGAGTCTCCCATAGCCACCCGGTGGAAGTGTGGCATTCACTAATCATGTGACCAGCAAAAGCTGCTGAACTCCTACTGTGTGAAATGGGCACAGTCCCACTGGTTATATCCAGCACGGTCGGTCATCGGCACTCAGGAAAGGCTCGGTGAATGTCTTCTTTATCACTGGATGTCTGAGCGGGCTCAAGACACTGTGGTCTATGGGAATCACTAATAATGGGATATTCTAACAATGGTTTCCATTTGATGTCCATGTAGCAAGCTGTTTTCATAACCACTTCATGAGGCACAAATTATTATTAGCTACAATTTACAGAGATAGGAATAGAGAAAAAAAAATGGTTAAGTCATTTACCCAAGGTCATACAGCTAGAAAGTGGCAGAGTAGGGATTTGAACTCAAGCCAGAAACCTCTGAATCCTCTTCTATTGTCTTTAGACAGGAGAATCCCATATTTTAGGCTGGATTTTGCTATGTGGTCCTGGCTGGTCTGGTACAGGCTGTGTAGCTCAGGCTGGACCCAAATTCTGAGGTGGTAATCCTTCCACCTCAGACTCCCAAATGCTGGGATTTTAGTTGTGAGACACTACACCCACCTGGTGCGTGTGTGTGTGTGTGTGTGTGTCTGTGTGTCTGTGTGTATGAGCTGGTATGTTTGTGTATAAGTGTGGGCTCACATGTAAAAGCCAGAGGACAACTTTTAGAAGTTGATTTTTTTCCATCGTAGATTCTGGAGATCAGATTCAAGTTGTTAGT